GTTATTTTGTAAAAATTATGTTCACCATAAAAAGAAGCTACTGGAGTTTGGAAGTTAAAAATTGCTGCAATAATTCTGTAATTGGTGCATAAACATGCAAAAATTAGATGTTCGGTTGATTTTCTTAATTAGTAATCTGCAGTAATGAAAGGAATAAACAAAGATGTTCCTAGCTAAAGAAATATATATATGTTCCTGTACATATTATATTACCAGAACTGCTGTCATATTCTTATCCTGAACAAATGAAGGCTAAGAAACTTTCTGAGAAAGCTTTGCTGTAAACTGACAAAAACTCCACAGATGAAGTGAAGAAGTCTGTAAGATGATAACACATCTGGCTATATATAAGTTAAATATGATAACCAAAGCCTGTTGATAGTAAAACAATCTCAAATGATAAGAAATTATGTTGATGGAGGAAATTTAGGGCCGATTTTTTTGTGTGATTAGTTGTTCTGGGAGCAGAGCCACTGCTGCCTGACATCTTGGATCTTGTCTCATAGATCTCCTGTGGGTTCCAAGTTGCCTCATTCCTTTGAAACCCCTCCATCAGGTTGGGAATTATTTATCTTAAACACTTTCAGGAAATTCAAGGGAGCATAATTACCTTTGAGGTCTTTATATAGTAAATGGCTTTTCAATCTGCTGGGCAGGTTCAGATAGATACGGAATGACAAGCAGACAGAAGTCTAAAGCATTGTACTTCTGCAAGTTCTGTGTTTTCCCTAAGAAAAAAAGTATCTTTTGCTAAAACTGCTAAGTTAAGGGTAAGGTAATGTGTTTCCAGAATGTTATTGCATATAAGGGGAGATTACAAAATGGAAAGGTGAAAATAAGGCAGGAGAGATAAAGAGCCATGTAGCCGAGAAGAAGGAAAAGGATGGGAGAAATATCTTATCCCACATTAAGACAGAGGCTGACAGAGTGGGTGGTGGCTTGGAGCCCCATTCCAAATTGGCAGAAGGCAAAAGTTGAATGTGGCTTGAAAGAGAAAGTTCAGAAGCCCAGGGCTGAATCTGAGCTAGTGTGCTTCTGATAGGATTTTGATTTGTAAATGTTTCATTCCAAATCCAAATCAGATGAAGTGGATAGAGGTTGATTATGGAGGAAAATAATTCATGTTTCTTGCAAATTAAACATTATGAGAGGAAAAAAGTCCAGTGTTTATTTTTGGGAGAAAAAAATTTTGCCTAGAAATGAAGTTTTTATTCACCCCAAAATATTTTAAATAGACATTTTGCTTCATTTTTCCCCCTTGGTAATGTCAGAAAGACTGTGTGAATTTCCAAATATAACCCATTCCATCCAAGTGGTATTTTAATACAGAAAAATATTTAGGTAGAATTTTTCCAACTGATTCTACTTGCAGTTTGTGTCCAGATTAGAGACATATTTTAGCAGAATCTTCTCAGGTGCCAAGAACAAAAGGATCCCTGGACTTTGGACAAAAACACTTGCCTTGTTTTGGCTGGTCAAAAGAAGAGATCAGACAAAAAAAAATGTAACTACCCCCAAATTCATAACTTTTCTTCTTTTTTATTTTGTTTGAATTTACATCTCTGACTCCCATAGCATATGTTTTTGCATGTGTTTCTTGGCACTCCTGAAGGGCAGATCTGTTTCTTACATGCTTCCTGCCTTATTTTTTTCTGGGGAATTAATTTTTTCCTGGATTTGTGTGCAGAATTCCTGTGACAGCCATAATTTTTCTTTAATATCATTGTATACACAGAGCTTCTGTATTAATACTGAGTTTGCTACCTGCCCACCAGCAAAGCCATATGCTAGAATCAAATGTTAATTGGTTATCAGTTGGGGATTTAGTCCTACTCATCTGCTAGATGGATAGTATGAGAAACTTACACCAGAGTTAATGGAACATACTCTCTAGTCTTGCTAAATTGCCTCTCTGCCATAGATTTTTTCCATTACAATCACAACACAAAATGAGGTTTGGATTTGTTTTAGCATTGCAGACTTTAAAATACTGATTTGTTTTCCAGTGTGGATTGACAGGAATCTAGAGAATCAGGGAGGATGGAAGGGACCTCTGGAGGACATTGAGTCCAGCCTCCTCCTCAAAGCAGGCGTGGTTAGAGGCCAGAACCTTGGTTAGAAACCGGAAACTTTGAGTGCCTTTGAGGGGGGAGATTTCCCAGCTGCTCAGGGCACCTATTTAACTTTTTTACCATCCTCATGGTAAAATGCTTTCCTTGTAGCATGTTCTCCCTTGTAGCTGTTGCTTCTTGTCATGCACCTCTGAGAAGGACTTGCTCTTGTTTTCCTGGGCTCAGGTGGTTGCAAACCAGCAGCAGGGTCTGCCCTGCATCGTCTCTGAATAGCCTCAGATCTCAGTCACTCCCCTCATCCCAACCACCTTGGCAGCTCTCTGATGGGCTTGCCTCAGTTTCTCAGTAGTTTTCCTGTCACTGAAGAGCCCAGGATGGGACCCCACCCTCCAAAGGAGGTCTCACAAGTGCTACAAGATCACTTCCTTTGTTCAGCTGGTTTCGCTGGTGATTGACACAGCCAGGGTGCCATGGCTCTCTGCAGAGTCTTTTTGAGTAAAGTTACTCCATCCTGGGTGCAGGTGTGGGAATAACTGGTGAACCTGGAAGTGGTTGAATTATCTGTGATCAAGAGCTGTTGAGATAAAAAATGGAAAAGTGTTTGTTCTAGGGCTGTACATAGGAACACAGCCACACAACAGCTCTAAGATTATGTGCCCTTGGGGATGTCCTGCATCTAGCCAAGGAAGCCAGGGCTACAAATTGTGCAGAGCTCTATTCCTTATACATAACTTCACAACAGCAGTGCCTAGGCAGGAACAAGATTTCAAAGATTTGTACCTAAGTCTGACTTTGTAATTCAAGAGCACTCAGAATAAAAAGCAAAGCACATTCTAAAGTCTTCCAAGGAAGGAAGTTTGAACAAAATACTGTTAAATCTATGAATAAGTAGCAGAAAATACCCTGTTAGTAAAAAAAATAAGATTTAAAGGGTAAAAAGTGTAGTTAAGGAGACAAAGAAAAGGAAATAATTTTACCAAAGCCTGGTGTGGAATAAAAGAATAAAACAAGTAACTGAGATGCATACTCCTCAAAAACAGTTTTTAATTGAAAAGCTGACAGACCTGTAACTACAGGAATGCCTCTGGCCGCCACTATAATAAATGAAACTGTACATTTAGAGTAATTTGCTAATTTGCCTAAGTAACACCCACAGACAGCAACATGACATAAATACATTAGTGGAAGCAACAACTATAACCAGCTCATACAGGTTCTTGGCTGGCAGATGGATGGATCAGATGAGCTGAAAGAGATTTACCAAACAGAACAGAAATGGAGCTGTGGTAACAACATTGTGGGATACAGGATTTCTTTGTTCCTTTAAGGCCTGAAGATGCTCATACATGTTGCAACATGAAAATACCATTTTTAACTTGTGTGTGCGTGTGTGCACGCACCTGGAAAGCTTGTACAGTTGGAGTACACATCTGCTAAATGCCAAGTGTTTCAGAAGCAAAACAGAGAAGTCTTTCAGGTAAATTATTGAATCTTGAAAATTTAACATGTAATTATAAATATCTGAAAAGAGTTTTTGTTAAATATTCTAAAGACACATAGGTATTTGGTCCATAGGAAAGACTGGAACCTGTACTATCAGCTTTCCTAATGCAGGTGTTCCAAGTGTCTGAAGCTTGTACTTCAGAGTCACCCATGTCTTCTTCTGGCAAAGTTCAGCTCTGTGTCACCTCCCTTAGGCTAGCACTGTTCTGTCTTCTGTTTCCATAGCTCTGAATCACACTGTTGCATTTTATTCTGAAGTCCTACTCATGCCAACTTTTGCCATTGCATACTAACTGGTTTTTTTGTGTTCTCTAAATAGCCTGCCTCCAAGTTAAGCTTGGGCCATCACGAAGGATTTTTGTGTTATCAACAATGCGTTTCTAAAATTAAAACCCAAAAAAATTGCTGTTATGCAAGGCGGGTTTAATTTTCAATAAAATACTTCTTTCTGGTCCCAGTCTCCTCTTCTGACTGTCTTGATCCTGATACAAATTAACAGTGCAGAAACAAAGCTAATGAATGCAGCTTTGCACAGTTTCTGTTTTTGTTTCCTCCCAGATGTGCTTAGGAGGTTTGTGCTGAGCTGTTTGAGACAGGCAATGCCAGCTCTCAGGGGCAGAATCCAGTGAATAACCAAATGCGGAGTCAGGTGAAAAGTTTCTCTTTCAGTGCTCCTCTCAGGAAGAGCCCACGTGTGTAGGCATATATATTCTTGCCTTCATCAGAAGGTTGTTCTAAGGTTTTTCACTAAATATGGGTTGTAAAATATTCTTGAACGTGAGTCACTTTAAATTATAGTTCATGGAGCTGAGGGAGTCACTGAGAAAATGGAGCAGGAAAAAAACCATGGGATAGAGGCAAAGAGTGAGATTTCACTGTGGGATGTGGATTTTTGACAGGAAAACTGAATCCATGCCTTGCTTGAGGGCTTGATATTAATGTCAGGGCAAAGACCCCTCTGGCTGACCCAAGTTCTGAGTGTCAGTACAGACTGACAAAGACCTCAGCTCTGGGAGAAAAGAGCTGACATGATTTTATGAAGCATTATGGCTGATCTTCTTTGAACCCTAATTTCTGTCAAAGAGTTATCATCACTGTCACAGTAAATGATACTTGCAGCACAAATGGCAATTAACTAGAAGTAAATAGTAGAGCAGAAGTCTGCAGACTGGTTTTTAAGGTTGATGAGTTGAAAGTAATTTCAACACATTAATGCTAAGCATGCTAAATCATCATGTGCCATGAAAAAGACAGTAATGTCACTTACCTGAAATCAGCAGGAATTACAATAACGTGTAGTAGGGGTAGGCTTGATTGTTTCAAATATGTGAGCATATTACAGGAACCGATAACACTTTGTCTATCTGTTTGCTTTTATCAGATTTTTTATAAAACAAGTAATTTGTTTGTTTTTCACTATTTTAGGTAGCCTGCCCTATGAATACAAGATTGTGATAGCAGGAAATCATGAATTGACCTTTGACCAGGAATTCATGGCTGACTTAATCAAGCAGGACTTTTACTATTTCCCCTCTGTTTCTAAGCTGAAGCCAGAGAGCTATGAAAATGTACAGTCTCTTCTAACAAACTGCATCTATCTTCAAGACTCTGAAGTGACGGTGAGGGGATTCAGAATATATGGCTCCCCTTGGTAAGCAGGTTTTTTAGCATACATTAAAAAAACATTGTTGATTGCTATCACATCAGACATTTTGTGTGCATCAGCTGTATTTGGATTGCTGTGTTAGGAAGAAAAGTAACACTCACTTTGATAAAGTTTTTATATTTTCTTGTAATGAATCATTCCTGTGACAAAACAATGTACTGTACTGTGGGTGTGGTTAGCCAAATAATGATGGGTAAAAAAGATGGTGTGCTCTTCAAACTCTCAGCCAGGAGTAGGTGTTTAACAGTCCATGCAGGGGGCTTTTGTGTCATAAAATATGTTTTCTCTCCTTGGTGAATTTATTTAATTACAGGTTAATTTTATTGCAAGGGGTACAGTCTTTTGACAATTTCCATCATACAAAAAATATTGGAGGTTCATTACTGTGTACAGTAGTCACTTAACAAGCTTATTTCAGCAACTCTGAAGTTCTTTTATTGCTTATCCCTCAGAATCTTGCTTTCTTTTTATAAAGTAATAGCTTTCCTCAAGGTCTAGCTGAGCTTCTAGAGTCAACAACTCAGTGGCAGCTTAATATTTCATGGACTTTGCTCTACTGCATAGTGATCACTTAGAACCCTTGACAGTATAGAAGGCAGATGGACTTTGGTTCCTGACTTCCTTGTATGTGCTGTTTCTGTGTCTCTTACTAATGTCCCATTGCTGTTTATTATTTCTGCTGATGGGCCTGTAAATTGGGTCTTTTGTGAGCATTTGATATATGTTTAAAATAAGTAAAACTGTATTTTAAAAGGCAGGGTTTTAAGGGAATATGCTATTCTTCTTTTTAACATCACATCAGGCTGAAATGTAGCAAACAAGTTGTCAAACCTGATGCATATACCCTGATGTGAATTTTCAGTGTGAATAAACTGTGAAATCTCTTGGATTTTTTTTTAATGAAAATTGGCTTTTTCCCATTTGGTTACTTGAGATGGGTGTTAATTTTGTCTAAGCATATTATTCTACATTTGTCTAGATTAGTTTCCCTCTTAAATGCACCCTTCTCTTTCTCCCTCTCAGGCTCTTCCAGATCTTTCTGGGTTTTTTTGTAACTTACCAACCGGCTGTATTGTTGTTCATCTTCCTCTTTTGTGTACAATGTATGGAGTCAATGTGCAGTTTACTTAATTTTCCACATTATTTGGGAAGATGTTAGATGGTATCAGTCCCAATATTAACTTCTGAGAAATGCCACTTGGCATCTTTTCCCATTTTGATTTTCAACTGTAAATACTGTAATTATGCTCTGTTTACAATATGTCTGGCAACCTCATATCTTCATTTCAGTGTTGGTAACCAGGCGCCATATTTCCAGTGTCAATAATAATTTTCCAGGCAGTGAAGTACCAAAAGTTGCATGGAAGTCTAGAGAAATTAAATTAAAGCAAAACACTATCTATAAAGTAGCACTATGTAGAGGCTAAAGGGAACCACTTGAACTTTCTGTGTGTGATTAGATCTGCAAAAAACTGTTGAGAAAACCTTTTGCCCACCCACTAACCCATAAATAATGTTTCTGTAAAATCAGCTCTACCACATTTCCTTTGTGCACAAATCTTGTCACTCTGCGCAAGTTGTCTGAGCTATCTGCCATGATCTGTCCTTGAAGTAAAAACAACGCTTTCCATCTTTTCTGCAGCTCCAGGTCATAGCTACACTTCCACACTCCATGTTTTACAATGCTGCTAAATCATCTCCCACCCCTTCATGGTCCAGGAAGTTGAGTGTTGCGAGGTCTGCTGGAGATACTTGCTTTCTCCATCTGGGAGAGAGTCTTGATGAAAGTCTTCCAGCCAAACTGAGTTTTTTTGCTCACTATTCAGCAACACAGAATGAAGTTTCCATGCCAATTGATGACATGTCCAGTGGAAACATCAACAGTAGCAATAAGAGCCCTTCATCAATCTATCAGCACAGCAGATGCAGAGTCCCATCAGCCAGGCCACCAGTCTTGGGAAGACAAACAGCTCTTGTGTGGGGATTTGACTAGCTGCTGCTGGATTTCAGGCTGTGGTACACTCCTGTGCCTAGTGAGCATCACTGTTCTTTGGCATTTCCGTTGCTATACTTTGTTTACCCTAAAAGTAGAGGTTTGTCATAGCCTCTCTGGGAAATCAATCTCACTTTCTTTCTGCATCATAGTAATGTAATCTCTAAAAAGATATGGAAATTTGCTGAATTTTGTATGGTGAATATTTTTTTTGACCTAGCATTAAAAAGCTAGTCCATTAGAAAATATTTATGAACATAGTCAAGACTTCAAAATTTAAAGTTCTTTAAGGTCTCAGACCTCCACAAGAAAGTCAAATTTCGTGCAGTTGCTTGTCTAATATCCTAAAATAATTTTCTTTTTCTGTTTTGAAAATATGCACTTAAACTTTCCATTTCTAGTTGCAGCGCTGACCTTCTGTCTTACATCACCTTTAGTCGAAATAATTAGAAGCTAGTGATATCCCTCATTCATAAAACACATTGATCAATCGTTGCAAAGTACTTTGAGAACACTGGAGTAAGGTCTGAGTAAAAGCCGAGTAGCATTAACTTAGTGTCTTTTGCCTGTAGTCATCTGCATTTTTATATATAACCTGTACACATTAGATTATACTTCTATTTAAAATGTTTTAATTGCAAATGAGAGCTTGATTGGTTAGTATAACATGCCAGTCTCTAAGGTCTTTTAAATATGTACCAGTTGTGTGTGGTTAAATATTTTTAATAGCACTTGGTATTTTGTCCTCTATTATTATCTAAAACCAAGTGGTTATTTTTAATTGCACAGAAGAAATGGGACAGTGTTTTGTCTCAGAAACCAATGCTCTAACTCTCCTGGTCTCCAAGGGCAAGAATTCAAGTGCCAGATTAAGCCTCTACTCACTAACGAAAATTTAACTGTCTTAATTGTTAATTACATAAGTGTTATCATTGAGCAGGGAGCAGCCATTTTGAAATGCCACTTGCAATGCACAAAAGCAGCTACTTAGGAATTAGTACATGCAAAATCTTGGACCACGGATTATCAGGAAGAGATATAGATGTTAAGGAGGAGAAGTGTGAAAACATTAGAAGTTTCTTGAGAAACTCAGGAATAACAAGATTTTAAAAGTGTCCAGAGCAATGCTGAGTGCAATGGGTAACTGTTTGGCCTAGGGGCATGATGCTTCTCACAGTGCATATGGGGGTGGCTGCCAGATCTGGATGAGCAGGACACCAGTAAGAATGCAATGTGCTTCACAGACTCCCAGGATGGCTCAGGCTGGAAGGGACCACAGTCGGGCAGCTGGTCCCACCTCCCTGCTCCAGCAGGGCCATCCCACAGAGCACAGGGTTGTGTCCAGATGGGTCTGGAATATCCCCCGTGAGGAGACTCCACACCCTCTCTGGACAATCTGTTCAGGGCTCAGTCAGTGCCCAAGGAAGAAGTTCTGCCTCCTGTCCAGGTGGAGCCTCCTGGGATCAGTCCCTGCCTGTTCCTCTGGTGCCATCGCTGGGCCCCCGGAGCAGAGCCTGGGTGCTGCTCGGAGCCCTCCCTGCACACAGGGACACCCAGGGCTGAGGGCCCCTCTCAGCTGGGGCTCCTCTGGAGGCTGGACAGCCCCAGCTCCCTCAGCCTTTCCCTGCCAGAGATGCTCCAGGCCCTAAATCATCTCTGCAGCCTCCGCTGGCCCTGCTCCAGGAGCTCCATGTCCCTGCTGTCCTGAGGAGCCCAGAGCTGGACACAGCTCTCCAGATGTGCTTCACAGAGCTGGGCAGAGGGGTGGGATCACTTGATGCACTTCCTTCAGTAAAGCACAGATGCTGGGTACTGTTGGGTCTTCTTCAGTATAAAGGCTGGACACCCTGATTTTTTTTTTTTGTAAAAAAATAGTCACAGGAAAATGCACTCTGGTTTCATCCCAGCAAAACCCAAGGCTTGGCCAGAACATATTTGCAGACCTGGAAACAATCTTGTGCAGACAGCAGTTGTAGTTGCTGTGAATGTAAAAGAGAAGACTTTAGTTCCTCAATAACATTTACTGTAAAATGGAAAGCTTCTAGTTGAAAAGTACTTTTAAACTCCCCTTTTGTTCTGAACTGTTATGAAGATAGACAAACTGGCAGATAGAATAACTCAAATAGTTCTGTGTAATAATTCCATATAATGTACTTGGGACTGCTAAGACATCCCAAGGATGAAGCCATTTTCTAGAGGGTTTTAATTTATTTTTCAGTAACAAAAAACCCCCACGTAATAGAAGTAAAAATATAGCAAGCAGGAACACCAGAGAGGTGGCAGAGAAAACCACCCTTAGGTGTTTCCAAGACAGTCATGGCTGACCAGATCTAGTGATGGTGAGAGGTAGTGAGTGGTAGGTTGGACAGGAACTCTCCAGAAGTCCTTTTTGAGCCATCTTTCTGTGATTCTGTCAATCCCACTATGGAGCTAGAACTGTGTGTGAGGCACATACCTGAAATGGGCAGGTATCAACAAAGGCCTTGCAACAGGGAGTTTGCTGTTGTTATCACACTCAGTAGATGGTCCCAACAGATGGTTCAGAAGTCAGGAAGCTGAGATAACAGCGGAAGCTTGAATTTGGATTTGAAGTAGAAGGTCTTTGTCATCAGAGAGCGTTCTGTGTTATCAGAGAGGGTATTAACTCTATGATGACATCATTCATGGAAAAATACTAAAAATTTATTAGTTAGTATTTGGGTTACAGATTTTCAGCCTTCTACTGTAGTTCATCACCCCCCCCCCAGTACTATGTTGCAGGTAAGACTTTTAGTACTAGCCACAGCTTGAAGACAGACTATACCACCCATTCTTGTTTCTGTAACTGCCAAAGATTTTAATTGCACAATTACACAGTGTTTGCACAAAAATACCTGATACATTCAGTGCACAAGATCTGCTGTGCTTGCTGAACGAGTCCACTGTATATTAATCCTTTTACAGTTGTTATTCAGAAATGCCCTGTAAAAACAAATGCCTATAGAAGTGCATG